TATAATGTTCATATTCAACTAGACTCTGTATATTATATCTGCCAACTTACATAGATGGAACAAATTATTTGTCTTTTAAAAAGTAGTAGAATATTATAAACTGAAGAAAAAAGAAAGAAAATGGAGAATGAGAAGAGAAAATAGCAAAACACTTTGGAGCTAAATGGTGAATCCTTGCTTTAAATATGCAAAGCATAATCATTGCATGCCTGGCTCTCAATAAATAATTATTAGAGCAAAGGAAAAGTTCCACAAATGTTTACCATCTTTTTAATTTAAGAAATTAGATTTTAGGCACAATTATAAGTGTAAATAAACTGTGGATTTCTATATACCATCAAGCATAACTTATAATAAATTCTAGGAATATTTTCTTTTTAAAAAAATATATTTTATTGATTTTACACAGAGAGGAATTGAGAGGGATAGAGAGTTAGAAACATCGACCAGCTGCCTCTTGCACACCCCCGACTGGGGATGTGCCCGCAACCAAGATACATGCCCTTGACCGGAATCGAGCCTGGGATCTTTCAGTCCACAGGCTGACGCTCTATCCACTGAGCCAAACCAGTTTTGGCATATTTATGGAATATTTTCTGACTAACTCTGATAAATTAAATAAGGTATTAAACTGTTTAGCCCAAATGAGTAATTTTTTTCAAGAAAAATGAAGAAAATTGAGTCTAATAAACTAATTTATCACAATAAAAATATGGGTCACCCTATTAAAACCATAATTATTTATTTGCTAAACCCAATTCTTTTAAATTATATAAAAACAGTTCATTTTCATTCTTTATTGTAGTTTTTATAAAATAGGTCACTGGAATCAGCTTCATTATTAATTCAAGTCAATAGAAATAAAGATTAATTAGATAATAGACTGATGATAGATAGATAGATAGATAGATAGATCTTATGCCAACAAGCACTACTTGTTTCCTTAGAGTACAAACCAGAAAATTGGGTCATTTTACTACAGGAACTAAGAGTGCAGTTGGCAGAGATGCACTCACACATAGAAACCAACAAGTATGACGTGCAATAAAATAACATGCTAAGGGAGAATGGAGATATGCATAGGCCTCACAGAGATAAGGTACCTCGGCTTGTTGATGGATGTGGTTTGAAATGTCAGAAATACCTTCCCAATTTTTTCAAAAGGGGAGAATATCTTTTTGGAATGATGATAATACCTGAAATAAGCTAAGTATAAAAATACACAGGGTTGCTCAAGTCAAATGGAAGAGGTTTTGAAAAAATTAATGACTTTGGAAAATGGAAAGTATGTTAGTACAGCCAGAGAAGAAAGTGTCAGCTTCAGGGAAGGAAAAGGTAAAACTACAGAGACGGATCCTGAAGTGCCTGATAAGCTAGGAAGTTAGACTTTCAATATGGAAGCCAAGAGGAGACATGTGTGAAAGCATTGGGGAAGGTGATACATAATGTTTATGTATTATCAAAATAGTTGTTTCTTTTGTATTATTTTATTTCTTTACAATGTACTGTTTTATCTGGTTCAGTAAAAAAAAAATAAAAGTACATTCCTTTTAATAACTTTTAATAAGGCCATTCATGAGAGCTGGTTATGTTAAAATTCAACCAAATTCATTATTTCTAACTAGAAGCCCAGTGCACAAATTCATGCAATATGGGGTACCTTGGCCTGGCCCGTGGGATTGGGCTGAAAACAGTCTCCAACATCTCCCAAAGGGTCCCAGATTGTGAGAGGGTGCCGGCCAGGTGGAGAAACCCCACGATTATGGCCAGGGAGGGAGGCAGGAGGTTAGCCAGCAGGAAAAGGTCATGGGAGGGTCTCCAGGGTGTGTTCAGCCCATCTTGCTCAGTCCTGATCGGCAGGACCCCCACAGCAAGCTAACCTACTGGTTGGAGCATTTGCCCCCTGGTGGTCAGTGCACATCAAAGTGAGAAATTGAGTGTCCTTAGCAAGCATATAATTAGCATATTATGCTTTGATTGGTTGAACAGCTAACTAGCTGACCAGACACTTAGCATATTAGGTTTTTATTATATCTACACTAATAAAAGAGAAATATGCAAATTGACCACCACTCCACAACACCCACCAGTCAATCAGGAGTGAGTATGCAAATTAATCTCACCATCTCTGTGGAAACTGACAGCAGGGAGGAGACAGCTACCAGCACAGCCTGCTTGGCCATTGCCATGGCGACCTGGGAACAGGTAAGTGCAGCCTGCAGGCAGCTCCCAGCACAGCCTGCTTGACAGTCACCATGGTGTGGAGCAGGCAGGGCCTGCAGAGAGCAGAGAACCATGGGGGTGGGCCTATGCTATCAGTAGGACATCCCCTGAGGGCTCCTGGATTGGAGAGGGTGCAGGTCAGGCTGAGGGACCCCCCCCCATGTGCACGAATTTTGTGCACTGGGCCTCTAGTAGGATAATAATAATAAAAAAAGTATTTTACAAAATTAAATCTCTACATCCACTCTTCTGTTTTTAAGCAGAATGTTTATAAAGCAACTAGAAACCCAGTGCACGAAATTTTTGCATGGGGGGCCCTCAGCTCAACCTGCACCCTCTACAATCCAGGAACTCTCAGGGGATGTCCTACTGATGGCTCAGGCCCACTTCCGTGGTTCTCTGAGGGTTTTGCTGCAGCCATGGAGATGAAGCCCTCATGCCCTGCTCTCCGCTCTCTGCCTGCCTTGCCATACACCATGTGAAGGAATCCCCAATGCCCTGCAGCGTGCTCTGTCTGCCAGGCCTGGGAGCTTTCCCGACACCAACACACTAAGGAAGCCCCCGTGCCCTGTTGTCCTGGCTCTGTCTGTGGGGCCTGGGGGCGTTCCCGCCACCACCTTTCTAAGGAAGCGCACAAGCCCTGCTGTCTGGGCTCTGTCTGCCACGTCTGGGTCCAGATCCAGCTTCACCACTTGGCCTGTGCAAACCCCTGCGGGGCGGATGGGCCCAGACTCTGCAGCACCGGTGGAGCAGGAAGGCTGGCTCTGCCTCCTCCTGCAGCAGATCCAGCCTCGCTGCTTGGTTCCCACAAGCCTGTCCTGGCTCGGTCTGCTCGCCCTTTGGTCCATGAGGGGCAGAGGGGCCCAGTTGCTGCAGCACTGGTGGAACAGGAAGGCTGGATCTGTCCCCTCAGGCATCAGGGGTGAGGGAACTCAGCCCCACCATCTTGTGGCTACAGGGGCTGCCATTTTGTCGCAGAGTGATGGTTAATTTGCATATTGCTCTTTTATTAGATAGGGTTGTGCATAATGACATGATCTAGGTAAATCGTGGACACAAAGGAACACAAGGAAACAAGTATAGGACACAAAGAAACAAGGACAATAGAATACCACATACTATCAAGAGATTAATTCCTTAGTTTTATTTTAATAATGAGCTATACAAGAAAGAAAATCATGATATATGACTAATTTGAGGTTCTAACTAGAAAAACCAAATTTCTTCATTATTTTGGACTTATCTTAAGCATCAACTAATCAAATATCACATCTATTGAGAAATTATAATATAAATCAAAATTGATGAGTTAATCTATTTGTCTTTGATTACTTTTTGGATTTGATTTAAAAACTCATTTTGACACCATAAAAAAGATTATAATATATAATGTGTATTTAGATTTTATTGTAAATCCCACTAGAGCAACAAATATTTGATTTAGCCAAGTCAGCACATAGCCATCTTTAATGTTGTGAAAAAATAAGTTGTGCTGTTTTTAATTTTTTAAAAAATTTGATCTGGTTACCCATCAAATTACTCATTTATAAAAACATTTTTTCTAAGAATTAAGTACTATAGTCAAGTGAAAATGTTAAAATGCTGTATCAAAAATTTTTATTTTAGAAAGGATAATTGCAACATAAATTATTAAAGACACAGCAATGTAAGAAAAATGTTTTTCTTTTTAAAAATTAGTTTTAAGGATGGAAGTGCTTCAAAGAATATTAGTAGAATATATTTGCCCTTATTCATGTATGATATTTTTAAATATCATGTTTCTACTTTTCATCTTTATTTAAAAAGTTCATATACTTTTCAAATATGGTCTCACTCTTATGCAGGGTTAACTAGTTAAGCCCCAACAATGTTTTGTTTTTTCTTAATTAAAAAGAAGATATGTTTAGATACAAATAAAGTGTAGAAAATTTAAAAATGTTAAAGCATTGTTACATATTCAGAACAAAAATTGTTTTGTACCATCTAAAAAGGAGATTTAGAAAAAATAAACATTCTTCCTTGTATTTATAGAACTAAAAAAATTATAGCACTGGAAATACATAATCTGAATGAAGCTTGCAAACTATTCAAGATTAGAATATACAGATATTTATACATTAAAAACACGAAATGTTTTAAAATCCTAAGAAAAAGTGCAATAATTTCAATATTTTTGACGTTTATATATATTCTTCAAGAGACACTGCAAGGAAATAAAGGGCTCATTAAAAATAACAATGCCAAAAAAGTCCCACAATAGTTTCACACATTCAATAATTTTAAAAAGTTCATTGTAATTTCCACGTGCAAATTAAGATTTTTTTCAATTACAATTTTACAAATAAATATTTCATTTACTCTCTGTCTTAAAACTGTATAATCAGCATTGCATCTCACAGCACATTTTAATTGCAGAGAAATATTTCTCCTTCATTATTATAGCTTCTGATTTTTGCCTCCATCCTTAATTATATTCCTCCACTAGTCTAACGGCTCAAACTCCAAGCAGTTCCTTTTTTTTTTTTTTTTCCTTTTTTTCAGGCTTCAAGAGAGGAGAAATAGTCACTCGCGCCAAACCTGGCTCAATAAACATACTACATTTAAATTAAAAATCACGAAGGTGATCATGCGTCCTCCCTGGGAACCTTCGTAATAAATGAATGGCAGAAGACAATTAAGAGTCACACTTCTAAGCACTACCCTTGGTTGGAAAGATAAAAAATAGTTTCTTTTATTATAACAACAATCATTTTAAATTGTAAAAGGGTGACATTTACCTTTTCCAATTGAGCGTTTTTTTTGGATTTGTATAAAAACTCTCCCACGGCCACAAACACGGAGAGCACCAGGCCTGCGGCCAGGACGATGAAGATGCCGCCGATGTTCTGCACCCCCAGGGCGCTGGCCTCTTTGCTCTCCTCCTCGGGGCAGCCGTTGCCCCGCCACCACTTCTCCTTCATCATGTGCAGCTTGCCTTCCTCCTGCAGCTGGAGAATCGCAATGGTGATTTTGTCTCTATAGGGAGAACCTGAAAAAGAGAGATCTTGTTAAGTATTTCAAGGAACCCAGGGTTTCATAATTAAAAGCTAACATGATGGGAGGACGACAGAGCTTTCTCCAAATGCTCCAACGTGTGCCAATGCTTATTCCCAGTAGAGAAAAAAACGAAACTGAAAAACACCAAAGAATAGAAGGTTACTAAGATAAATATGGCATGTGGGCTTTCTGATTGTAAAGAGTAAAATGAATTTTGCTTTATGAAAGAAAAATATCCCCTTATAAAAGGTGACTCAATTCAGAGCACTGGAAACTAAGTAAAATAGCAAGCAGTCATTTTCAATGGGAAATGGAAAGTACAAAGCTATTTGGCTAATGTTTAAAAATAATTTTACACTGGAAACAGTGTATTGATAAAATGGGAACCTCTATTTTTAGAGAAGTTATGAAAAAATAGTATTTCTATTTAGTGAGTGAAAAAATTTAAGGCAACTAAGAACAAGCGATACTTGGGTAGCTAATACTTTGTAGATAATTTATTTTCTTATTTGACAGAAATAACAGAAATAACAGGTTTGTATCAATTTGGATCATTCAAATATCATTATGAAAATCAATGCATTGTAAGAATTTTTAAAAATATATATTTTATTGATTTTTATACAGAGAGAAAGGGAGAGAGATAGAGAGTTAGAAACATCAATGAGAGAGAGTCATCCATCAGCTGCCTCTTGCACACCCCTACTGGGGATATGCCTGCAACCAAGGTACATGCCCTTGACCGGAATCGAACCCGGGACCCTTCAGTCCTCAAGCCGATGCTCTATCCATTGAGCCAAACCGGTCCCGGCTGCATTGTAAGAATTTTAAGGTTATTTGTTTAGTTGTTGTTTTATGCTTTAGGAGGAAATGTTCATTTCAGTGGAGGCAATGATATAAATAAAGTTTAGCATTTTTTGCTGATGGGGGTAGATATTTACCCGTATTGGTTACTATGTGATAAGTAATAATTTTTCTAATTGGTTGCCAAGAATCATAGAATAATATATATTTTATTGATTTTTATCGAGAGGAAGGGAGAAGAATAAAGAGTTAAAAACATCAATGACAAAGAAACATGGATCTGCTGCCTTCTGTACGCCCCCTGATGGGGATTGAGCCCACAACCAAGGTACATGCCTTTGACTGGAATAGAACCTGGGACCCTTAAGGCTACAGGCCAATGCTCTATCCACTGAACCAAATCAGCTGGGGCTACATACATCTTTTAATATCTGTCCTAAGGGATTCGTCTTATTGCTTTCAACCACCCAGCAATATCCTGTTTCTAAAGTTTAATCTGCTACAGAAAAATAGTAATTTCAGTTTGCAGTCAATGTTGCTGTGATTTTGATTTGATTTAAATATACCTACAACTATACCTAAAGCTTTATTTCTGCTAAGAACAATCACAAACCAGGTCAGGAAATTTTTCTGCCTTAAAAGGGATACCACTATATACATTGTTTTTATTTTTATTTGACTATGTCATATGTTATTTATTATTTCAACATTAATAAATAATGTTGAAAAAGTTCAACATTATTTATTAATGTTGAATAAATAATATTATTCAACATTAGTCTGTGTTGAATAATAGACTAATTCAACCTTATTCATTTAGCAAGAATATGCTAGTTAAAAGAAAGACAAGGAGAATCATAGGAAATAGGCAGCCTCTTTAAAAAGTTAAAGTGAAAATCTACCAAATGCAGCCTGATAGATATAAAGAAATAGCTATCAAAAAAAAACCCCAAATAATTCTTAACCTACTCAGAAGAAATATTTAAGTACATGGTTTCTATATAACATTTTTCACAGCTATCCTTAAAAAAAAAAAAGTGTTATTCTTTCCTATGATTAGAACTCAAATATTTCAGTTACAGCAGGGGAAGTCCTGCTTCTCAGTTTCTTTCCTGTGCTCTTTCAAATACTACTCTGATGGGAATATTCATTTTTAATTCTTCAGTCACTTCAAATATCAAGGAATTACTACTCCAGCCTGCAGAATTTCCTACGTTGATCACTCACTGGACACTCAGCTCAGGTCACCTAGTATTATTACTACCTACCTTTCAAAATGTGACCTCTTTTCCCAACAGATTACAATTCTATGGAATAGAGGAACTATCAAGCTATCATCTATGTATCTATGTATCTATGTATCTATGTATCTATCTATCTATCATCTGTATAGTCTATCATAATTCTCAATCTTTTCTCACATCATAGGCTCTCAACAAATGTTTCCAATGACAAGGAGTACAATATGATTGAGGCACCACTAACATAATATAAGAGTGACAGCCTGGAGCTATTGGCCTCTCTCACATGTTTTTAAAAATCATGAATTAAAACCATCTTGTTTAATTCACTAATTCTAGTCTAGCACCAGCTTTAAAATCACATTTACTCTAAATTATCATACTTATTAACCATGTATATTTCTTGCAAAGAAAATATCTGATTGAGGAGGTAAACTCATTATAAGCAGAACTGTAGTTTATCAAATATATCTTTCAGTTTCAATATAGCATCTCAAACAAATTTTGTGCTGATAGTACTGGCAAAAAGGGCCATATGTGGCTAGTATAAAATGTGGCTTCTTTTCTGGAAGTATAATTATAAGCAACATTTTGGTGGATAATGACTTGATAAGTAAACTTTCAAATATGAAAAGTTCTTGATCTAGCTAAGAAATGTTTTGATCCAGCATATCTCTCATCCTGAGAGATACTGAAATAATATTATTTTGTTGACAACTCACCATATACACTGACCTGCATTGGGATGCTTATTATAATGTCTTCAAATACAATATTCCTCACTGAATTCTCAAAATAAGGCACAGATAAATAAAAGCATCCAATTTTTTAAAATAAAGAAATAGTGGGTAAATTTTGCTCTTTCTAGCTGAGCTTCTTATTCCCAGCACTTTTTGTATGTATAAACATTTCCCATTTCTGGTAAACCTTGCCACACCTGTTTCCTACTGTAAATGTAATGATGTGGAAATGGTATTTCATTTGAATCAAAGCTACAATGTTAATATATCTCATTTTGAGGTTTTTATCATGATGGAATGATATAATTGGCCTCTCTCACGTGTTTTTAAAAACCATGAATTAAAACCATCTTGTTTAGATATGGTTAAGTACATGGTTTCTATATAACATTTTTCACAGCTTTCCTAAAAAAAAAATAAAAAGTGTTATTCTTTCCTATGATTAGAACATAAATATTTCAGTTATTGCAGGGGAAGCATTGACAGTAAAGTATTGTCATGTTTTGTGATTCTGTCCTTTACTGGTAGTTTAAGTAACATTTTAATCTTATTTTTATTTATTCATCTTTATTGCTGAAAGTATTACAGATGTCACTTTTTTCCCCCCATTGATTCCTCCACCTGGCACCTGCCCCCCACCAGGCCTTAAAAATAAATAAGAATTCAACAATGAAGCATTAATTCTTTGGTACAATATTTGATGTTCTTTGGAAGGCATTTCTATATAGATACTAGTTGGAGTCAAACACGGACTGAAATCTCATGTAATTCAAAAATCTCAAGGACATATTGAGATCAAAGACAAAAGCATTTTTCATCATCCTTGTGACATGAACAGCCATGCGCTTAGCTCTAATAAAGCGAACAGCCATTAGTCAGATAGAGCTTATGTGGTTTGCCCAAGTCACAGCTCAGCCTCAGTCCAGATGCTGGCAAGCAAAGAATTGAGGCAGCCCTAACGGGCAACTGAGAGAAGCTGGGTTTTCACATGGTAAGGCTGCCTCCAGGGGTGTGTGTGTGTGTGTGTGTGTGTGTGTGTGTGTGTGTGCATTTTTACAAGTTCAATTAGAAAACTACCAAGGAAATTCTAAATATGCCCATCATAACATATATTACACACCTAGCAGTCAATTCACAAATGCTAAGGGGCAGATAGATCGCCATGACTGACTGAGTGAAGAAGGAGGTTAGGCAAAAATACCTGGAACATTGCAACATCCAATGTAGAAAGATAATTTTCAGTTCCAGTTTTATTAAAACTCTGTGGGAATTTCAACACAGAATTGTCAGTATTTAAATGTCTTTTGTGTGATTGCATGAAATATTTTGTTTAAAATTCCCTCATTCAATGTTGATGAATAAATCATTTTTAAAAAAAAACATCATACAGGATAAGCCAAACACCCCTCACAGCTAAAGGGAGGGAGGGATGGAGGGAGGGAGGAAGGGAGGAAGGGAGAGAGACCTTCATATGATTACTGCATAATGAAGCCCCTTGAGATGTCAGATGCACATAACCTGGGGTTCAAAATGAGAACTCAAAGGAGGCATAGGGGCCTACAACTTGGAAAACAACTTGGTCTCATTTTTAAAGGATTTCTTAGAAAAATAAATTGTTATTATTGTACACAATTAATACACATCTCACCAAATATTTCAGAGCTTTCTTTCCCCCCTCCCTTTGATCTCTCCTCTCCTATCCCCCTCCCCCTTCCTCCCCCTCATTTCAACCATTCTAAAGTGTTTACTTGTGGACTGGAAGGCCCATATTATGCATTATTTTTAAAATAAATTATTTTTCATACACACACACACATACACAAACACACACACATTTATTGATTTTAGATTGAAAGGGAGAGGAGAGACTGAAGCATTAATGATGAGAGAGAACCACTCATCAGCTGCCTCCTGCATGCCCCGCACTGGGGATTCTGCCGGAAACCCGAGCATGTGCCCTTGACCAGAATTGAAACCAATGCCCTTCAGTCCACATGCCAACACCCTATCCACTGAGTGAAACCAGCTAGGGCTATTATGCATTCTTAGTTCTAAGACTAAGCCTACTAAACACAATACATTGATATGCTTATTTAATTATCTTTTTTATACTCTTTACAAACTAACAATTTTAAGTATATACTAATGTTTTTGTCCTATAATATTTCCATACATCTACTTAACACAGAAATTACAAAGTAAATGAG